AGAGAGAAGAGGGAATTCTGGTTCGAACAGAAGGAGTCAACTTAACTTCTCCCAGTCGGCCAGTAAGTATTTATATTATTATTAAAAACATAACTGAAAAGACCTATGTGCCCTTACTTAAGTTAAGAGCACAAGTTTCAACACAACATTACAGATCAGCAACATCAATCAAGGTATAAAGACAGAAATACCCCTATGCTAACATAGGTCAGTACTTCAAGATTCAAGAATCATACTGTTACAAGACACTTAACGACTCTAACTACCTTTGGTCAAGTTGCTAGCTGCCAGTTGGCTCTTGCTGACATGGATTTTCTTTCTTTGCCCAGAGTATACCTTCTGTGCTATAGGCTCAACCACCCTGTTCTGGTCTCTAACATATTCCCACAATTGTTTCAGATTATTGAAAATCAAGATGCAGTAGTGGCAGATTGCTATGAGTATAATGGGAGGACAGTAATCTGGTGTCCTGTTCGAAGGAATTTTCAGGACTGGGAGATTGTTAAATTTTCTGAGATGCTCGAGCTTGTTTCAGGTCAGGTGGTGGATGCTAGCATTGAGGACGGTTGAACCTGGAAGTGGAATGTAGATGRACTTTTTTCAGTTAAATCTTTTGCTCTCAAGCTTTCAGAGGGAAATCTTGTTGCAGATCCTTTGGGGGCAAACTGGCTTGTGGTTTCCCCCATTATTGTATGTTTATCTCTTCATCATAAATAAACTTTACTTTACCTCCTTAAAAAAATCTTGTTGCAGATCCTGCTTCCAGAATTTGGAATCCCATTTCCCCCTTAAAAGTAAATGATCTGGTATGGGCTGCTGCTCTGGATAGATGCTTAACTAAACAAATCTCTTTAGAAGAGGGGTGCAGGTCCCTGACCAGATTTGTTTGCTGTATGGACAGGCTATGTAGGATACAAATCACCTGTTTCTCCATTGCTCTTTTACCTCCCGTCTCTGGTGGCACTATATTTCAGTGGGATGGCTTGGGTAATGCCTAACACAGTGTTGAACCTTCTTTGGGGATGGGAAGTTCAAGTTTTTCAAAGTTTGCAAGCAGTGTTTGGGTCTCTGTTCTGGATGCAGTGATTAGCACCATCTGGACTGAAAGAAATAGCAGGATTTTCCAGAAGACCTCTAAAGAAGTGGAGGAATTAATTTCTTTTTCTTTTGGGAAGCTGGTTTCCTGGGTTTCAGCTACTAAGGGGCTTCAGCAGCATAACCTGGGGGGTGCTGTTGAGGTCTAGGAGTCTGTGGAAGCTGTAGTTTGTTTTACTGTTGTTGGTTGTGCTCGGCCAGGGTATTCTCCTTGGGGGTTCTTTTGTACTCTATTTGTTTTTTAATAAAAGTTACTGTATCTATTTCCAAAAAGAAGTTTAGCTCATAACCTTCTTACAAAACTGCAATGAAGAAACAAGCGGACCACTGGCTCAAAACTCTTATTGCACATAATACAATTGATATTATCAACCAAGAAGTCCGTTCTCATTAGATTGTCTGGTCAATCACTTCTTCAGTACAGCAGTCCATTACAGGAAAGCAATCTTGACAGGAGCAACTATATGCCACATCCTGGTCCAAGGGAAATGGGTCTCCCAAGGCCCAGCCAACCTATTATAAAATGATTTAGTGAAGGAAAAGAAATGCCTGTAGTTGGTATTTTATGGGAAAAAGAATCTTAGATGCATTTTAATTACCTTTGCCCATTAGTAGATTATTAGCTTACATGGCACTGAATGGTTAAGTACTTTGTTTCTGTTGTATAACTTATGATGATATCTTGATAATTATTGAACTTGTTAGACTGTAAGTATGATGATTGGAACCTTTTTTTTTGTTTCAATTTCTGTGCAGAAGTTAGTTGTACTACTGAGGACAGGAGGGCAGAGCTTTATGTTGAATGTGTATTATACATAGATGGTGCTCCATTTGGGCTTCCTACAAGAACAAGGTTTTTGCAACTTTCATACTTTTGTTGCTATTACCTGTGGTAAAATTTTTTGATGGTTTTTTAGATTTGATTTCTTTTTTCATTTTCCTTATTTGTGTTTGTATATGTGCTTGGATGCCTATTTGTGCATATGTTTTCTTTGATGTTTCAAGTTTATCTGTATCACCTAACATATTTCATATTGCCTATGTATCAGACTGGAATCTACAGGACAACCATATTGCTGGACTGAACTTATCACACTAAGCACAAAGTATCGGGACTTGACTGCTCACTCTCAACTGACATTAACTGTAAGTTAGTAGGAAAGGTTAGGAATGAGTGAAATCTAATAATTGGTGTATTTTATATCCTTTTTCTGTGACTAAGCATAGTATGTTACATTTTGTCATTAAATGATTGTGATAATGTATTATTATAGACTGAGCCTTTTTTAATCATTAACGATTTCCTCATTGAGTATTGGAGATTTATGTTTCCTGAAATTATCTTGTATTATCACTGAATACTGTGTTATGATATTTATTTTCTCCTATGGTTACAGAATGATTAATAAGCATTTGCATATTTTTCCATATTAATAAATTGTTAATTACCTATAAAAAATTGCATTGATATTATAACTAATATTTATTTTTGTGCAATAGGAAACTTTGTTCTAGTTTTCCACTATTGGATCCATTCATGTCATAGGTTTTAACGGTTTATCTTCTTTCTGATTGATTCTGAAACACATTCTGTCCATTAATTTTGTTGCCTTAATGTCTTAATTTGTACTGTATTCTTTAGTGTCATTTTTCTAGTTTCCTTTATTTATAGGATTTTTACCATCTAGCCAATTATTTAATAACCTTGGTCATTATTCAGGTTTGGGATGTATCTTGTGGAAAAGATGAGGGATTAATTGGTGGGGCTACCATTCTGCTCTTTAACAGCAAAAAGCAACTTAAAACAGGGAAGCAAAAGCTTAGACTTTGGTTAGGAAAAGAAGCAGATGGATCATTTCCTACAACCACTCCTGGAAAGGTTTTTGACTAGTGCAGTAGTATTGTTTGTGAATCTGCATTTTAAATGCTTGTGCACCTACTATCTTACTAAGATAGTTGAATTGCAACTACGTGCTTATTATTGTGCGACTTACCCAGGTGCCCAGGCATGAGCGTGGGGAGTTGGAGCGTTTGGAAAAGCTTGTTAATAAGTATGAAAGGGGACAAGTTCAGCTTATTGACTGGTTGGACCGTCTAACATTTAAGGCTCTAGAGAAAATCAAGGAAAGAGAAAGCTATAATACTGGAAGTTCTCATTTGTATCTGATAATTGAGTTCTGCAGTTTTGAACATCAAGTTGTTTTTCAGGTAGTGTTTTGACACTGTACAAGCTTTAGATAGTCTTACTAGTAGTTGATTTTCTATTGAAACTTCCCATTATTAAAATGCTGTTGGATTTTGCTCTTGTATTTTAGTACTTCATAGGAGGTGCTTGCAGTTAGCTTAAATTGACAATGCCCAGTGTGTGCTTGTCTTACACTGCTGGTCCCAAGCCGGATAAAAGATGAGGGTGATGTCCAGTTGGCAGCCCGACATTAAAACTTTTGCCTGACTTCTACGAAAATGGATCCAATATTTGATAACAACTAGATGATAATGTAATCCCATTATAATTAAATGATATGTATCATACTGCAAAGAATAGTAAAGAAGAGAGAAGAAAATGAGAGGCCAAAAAGTTGGGACATAGATGTCAATCATGCCCAGCTTGTCACACAAATCATTATGCTGCAAGTGATGTAAACCCTTAGTGAAGATGTCTGCAAGTTGCTCTTCAAAACTGACATAGGGTGTATATGCTTCTCCTTTAACAAGCTTCTCCCAGATAAAGTACTTATCCACCTCAACAAGGGTGGATAATCCTTGACAATGGGTGTACATATTGTGGATGCTTGCAAGCTTCTCCCATCTCATAGAGTAGCTGCCTTGTTATCACAATTTAATGACATGGGATTATCCACAGTAAATCCTAGTTCACTCAACAAGTTCTTAATCCACATGATCTCAGCTACTCCATGACATGGGATTATCCACAGTAAATCTTAGCTTCAGCACTAGACCTAGCCACACCACTTTGTTTCTTGCTTTTCCATATAACTAGGTTCCCTTCTACAAACTGCCCTTTGGAATAACAAACTAGCACCTGAAAATTTCTTGAGATATCTGAAGATCCTCTCAGCTACTTCCAAGTGAGCAGTCTTGAGAGCATGCATGAATTGGCTAAGAACCCATACAACATAAGCAATATCTTGGCGTGTCATGGATATATATAAAAGTCTTCCCACAAGTCTCTAAAATTGCTTCACATCTTTAATGGTTTCACCTTGACAAACACCTAGCTTATGGTTTAGGTCAATAGGAGAGTCAGTTGGTTTCACCCCTAGCTTACTAGAATCTTGCAATAGATCTAGGATGTATTTCCTCTGAGAAATGAAGATAACCCTTTGTGAATGAGCAACTTCAATTCTAAGAAAATACCATAAGGAGCCTAAATCTTTCACTTCAAAGTTCAAACTGAGTAGCAAGAAACTCCTTTAATTTCTGAATTTTAGTTTTCCAATCACCAATAATCACTATGTTGTCAACATATACTATTAAAGTTGCAATCTTTCCTTCCCCTCTCTCTTCACAAACAAGGTATGATCAGATTGACATTGCTTGTAGCCCATTTGTTGTATAGCTAAATGAAACTTGCTGAACCAAGCTTTTGGTATATTGCTTCTTCAGCTTGCACACTTTCTGTTTACTACCTTGAGCACGGAAACCAGGTGGTTGTACCATGTATACCTCTTCTTCAAGATCACCATTGAGAAATGCATTTTTGATATTCAATTGGTGAAGCTCCTAATCAAGGTTAGCAACAAGGGAGAAAAGGACTTTCATATGGTTCATCTTTGCTACCAGAGCTAATGTTTTTGCATTATCCACTCCATACACCTGAGTAAATCTTTTTGCCACTAATCAAGTTTTATATCTTTCTACTGTACCATTAACTCTATGCTTCACTATGAAAACCCACTTACATCCTACTGTTTTTTTCCCTTTAGGAAGGTCTACCAATTCCCATGTGTCATTTTTATTTAAGGCATTGATCTCCTTTTTCATTGCATCTGTCCATTTAGGCACTAAGATGGCTTCTGTTACATTTTTGGGAATAGGAACACTGTCAGTGGAGGAGGGAAAAACATGAAAAGAAGGTGAGATGTTCTCATAAGAGAAAAAATGGGAAATGGGATGTTTAGTAGTGCAAGACCTAACACCTTTTCTTTGAGCAATAGGAAGGTTTAGGTTATAAAAAATGAAAGTATCAATGTCAATGGGATCAAACATATCAATGGGAATAAGAGTACCTGGCTGGCTGGAAGTTGGATAGAATTTGTCCCTTGGAAATCCAATGGCACTAGTGGTATAGCATCCAGATGCTCCACATCTCTTGAACTTGGATGACCTTTATGTCAACGAAAGATAACATAAAACGAGGGAAGATTAGGAATAGAACGGAGGTGAACTTGAGCATGCTTCTCCTCAACTCTATTACACTCCCCCTGAGGAGAAACGGATGAGGTTCACTCTCAAGAAAGGACACATCCATAAAAACATAGTATCTTGGAGACGGGATCAAAGCATTGGTAACCCTTTTGAGAAGAGGGATACCTTAGGAAAACGTAAGGAATAGTACGAGGTTCAAGTTTACGACAAGTGGGGGATAGGTCTTGGACGAAACGACAACATCCAAAAACATGAAGAGGAATAGAGAACAGCCTTGGGAAACAGGAGCTGATGCGATGCCTTGTACTCCAACCACCGAGAAGGTATATGATTGATAAGATTATGCAACACATAGAACAACTTCTAGCTAGAAATGTTTTGTGACATTCATATGTATAAGTAATTTACGGGCAACTTCAAGAAGATGGTGATTTTTTCTTTTCGCAGCACCATTTTGTTGAGGTGTTCGAGCACAAGAGCTATAGTGGAGGGATCCACGTGAAGCAAAAAATTCTGTGAGGTCACTATGGAAATACTCTCTAGCATTGTCAAATTGGAAGATTTGGATCTCTGCCTGGAACAGGGTAAAAATCATTCGTTGGAATTCTTTTACAATTTTGGGTACTTCATTCCTTGACCGCATTGGATACACCCATGTATACCTGGAGTAGTCATCAATGAGTGTAATAAAGTATTTATAGCCAGTCTCAGAAGGCAAAGTGACAAGGCCCCAGACATTAGAATAAACAATATGAAAAGGAAACTCAGATCTATTATTTCTCAAAGGAAAATGAGTTCTACATTGTTTGTTCAATTGACAAGTTTGACACATAAATTCAGACATTGACACTAACTTAAATAGCTCAGGAAACTAAACTTTTGATGACTCAAAAGATAAATGACCAAGGTGTTTGTGCCACAAATTGACCTGACTCTTTATTAGATCGACTCTTAGACCCTGTGACTACAAGACCAGCCTTATTTTCCAGCATGTAGAGTCCATCTACCATACAACCCTTACTAATCATCTTTCCCGAGGCTAAATCTTGTATAATACAAGAAGGGAAGAAGGTTACTGAACAGTTCAATGAATTTACAATACTACTAACTAAAAATAGGTTGATAGGCATTTTTGGAACATGTAGAACATTAGAAAGATGAATTCCGAAGGGGAGGGAGACGGTTCCTTGACCAGCTATAATGGAAAAAAGACCCATTAGCTAATCTCACCTTATTTTTTTTTATCAGTAAGCTAGTCTCACCTTATCCCCACCAAAAAGGTGATGATAGGACTAAAAGCAATTTGACTTACTAGTCATATGATTTGAGGCCCCTAAATCAATTATCTAAAGAGAGTCAGGGAAATCAAAAGTCACATGAAAAGCTGTGGCAGAATTACTCAATTACCTAATGTAGACACAAAAGAAGTCGAGGGGTAGGGGCAGAATTATCCATCCAACGAATTGCCCTATAGTATAATTCTAAATGGTCATTGAAGGAATTAATAATATCTTTCTTGGGATCAGAATTAGAAGCATGTTCCTGACTCATAGTAGTGGGTAACTGAGTCTCCTAAGAAGCCATATTTGCTGCATTAGATTTCCTTGGACCTTGCTGCCTTATTTTCCTACTCTGATCTGAACCAGATTTCTTACTCAACTCTTGAGCCCATTTTGGATTCCCATGAAGATCCCAACAAGTGTCACGAGTATGCCTAAACTTTTGACAGTGAGTGCACCATAACTTATCTTTGTTTTCTACTTTCTTCTGAAACTCTCCCTTCTTAAAAGAACTTTCACCACCTGTACCTGCACCACTTTTTTCCACCAAAGACATTGATTCACCTCAGAACCATTCATCAAACTTCTCCTCCTCTCCTCAGATTGTACAAGGGCATACACTTCTTAGATGGAAGGTCCTTACTTCCTAGGATTTGTAACCTAATAGATTCATATGCAGGATTCAGACCCAAGACGAAAGCAAATGCCTGTTGCTGTGAGACAAGATCCTTGTAAGCTTATGCATCCTCATCACATTTCCAGTTCATATTCTGATAATGGTCCAGCTCTTTCTAGATAGAAGTCAAGTTAGAGTAATACACAAAAATGCTCCTCTCCCCTGTTTACAAGTAGATGATTCTGCCTGTARCTGATAAGTTTTAGCATAGTAATAGGTAGACTTGACTTGCACCTAGATTTCATAGGCTGTCTAATCCCACATGAAATCCCTTTTCACTTGAGTCTTCATGGATACTAATAGCCACGACATCACAATGCTGTTCTCCTGGTTCCATTTTTCATGCTCTATACTTCCAGATCTAGGTTTTTTAATCTTCCTATTGATATACCCTAATTTTCCACTTGCGGTGATATACAACTTAATCCCCTTCAACCACTCTAAATAGTTAAGCCCATCTAGGGGAATAACAACCATTGGGAAGCTCAAATCAATCCCCCATTGTAAATAGAGGATACACCAGAGGTATTTTGTTCTCAGTCCACACATAGTCCTGCACTAAAGGGAAAGATTTCTGGAAAACATATACACTATACAACCTCAAATAATAATAGAACTGTGAAGATATACCTTGATGTACATTATTAGAATAGTCCTTGTTGTATAGTATCGTATTCTTATTATTTTATTTGTTCTTTTTATCTTTCAGCCCTGTAAAGGCATTCTTGTAACTATACATATATTTTATCTCCTTAATATAAAAGAGGCTCTTTGGGGTGGGGGTCAACTATTCTTGACACAGTTAATTCTATTTTCTTCTTGCTCTCAATTCGGTTCACATGGTACCAGAGCAGGTTGCCCTTTGACCTTCTTTCTCTCTGATCCACCTTGTTTTCTTGATCCATTGAGAACTTGCATCTCTACCAATTGGTCCTGGACTGTTTTGATCTTTCCAGGAACCATTTTTCTGCTTTCTGCGCATCCAGAAAGAGAGATTTCATTGGATCTCTCTTGTTTGACATCCATTTGCAGCAAGATTTAAAAGTTGTTGCCTAGCCCTTCTCAACATACTCTGAAAGTTTCATTGAGATCCTTGAAGTTTTGAGAGAGATCTGGACTTCTTTTCTAGGCGGTTGCGCCCAAACTTTCATTTTCTGGACTGTGTATCCAGTTTTCTTCTTCTATTGGATCTTGGACAATCTCCAGTAAAAGTTAGGGGTTTATTTCTCAGTTTTTTGAGTCTCTTGGATTTGATTACAATTTACATCACTCGCTTTGATCAGTTTTTACTTCAGTCTAGTTCCTTTAAACTTTAGCCGAACCCTATTTTGTGCTATTTTCTTGCGGTAATGGCTTCAGACAGAGGGGATATTATTCCTGTGAAGATGAATAGATAGAACTATGGGATGTGGAAGTTCCATTTTGACTTTTATGTTGAAGGGAAAGGTTTAGAAGGATACCTAAATGGAATGGTCACTAAACCAACTGAGGCCGAGGCCAAGGCTTTACAACAATGGAAGTTGGATAATGGTAAGCTTATTTCTTGGATTCTGAGTTCTATTGATTATCATATATCTGTACCTATGAGGAGAATGAAAACAGCCTATGAGATGTACTTGTATCTAGAAAAAGTTTATCAACAGTCCAACGTTTCTAAACAGTACCAGATAGAATCAGAAATATTTTCCTACAACCAAGGAGATAGGAGGATATACGAATATTATTCAGGTTTTCTTGATTTATGAGCTGAATATGAGATTATTCATATTGAACCCTCGTATCCAGTAGAGTGTGTGAAATATCTCCAGAAACACTTTGAGAAGAGAAATGTGACTCAGTTCTTGGTGAGACTTAAACCTGAATATAAGATAATCAGGTCCAACATTCTGAGTAGGGGATCACTTCCAGATATGGATTCTGTTTTAGGGGAACTTCTGAGGGAAGAGACTGGACTTCTCACAAATTAGATGATTGTACCAGATATACTTGGATTTATTTTCTGCGGCACAAATTAGAAGTCTTTGGCACATTTAAATTATTTCATACTATGGTGCAAAATCGCTTCAAATGCAATGTAACTATCCTTCGCTCAGATTTAGGGGGAGAATATAGAGACAGAGACTTTCAGGCCTACTTGAGGAGTTATGGAATTTAGTCTCAGCACAGCTGCCCAAACACTGCACAACAGAATGGTGTGGCTGAACGGTAGAATGGACATATCCTCAGTGTTGTACGGACATTACTACAGGAATCTCATACTCCAACTTCGTTTTGGGTAGAAGCAGCCAGTACAGTTGTGTATTTGATCAACTATCTTCCCTCTGTTCTCGACAACACTTCTCCCTTCCAAAAACTCTTTGGTCATTCCCCAGATTTCTCTAGCCTTCATGTTTTTTGTTTTCTTTGTTTTGTACATCTTCCTGTTCGTGAACGCTAAATTAATTGCTCAGTCTGCTATGTGTGCCTTTGTGGAATATAGTCCTGACCACAAAGGATTTTTGTGTTATGACCCTACTATTCATCGTATTCGGATTTCCCGAAATGTTGCGTTTCTTGAACATATTTCGTTTTTTGTTGGGATTGCTAGATTGTGTGCTCCTTCCATCTCTATTTTGCAGGACTTTGATTCAAACAACACTACTACTTCCTTGATTGAGAGAGATTTTCTCGTCTTCACCCGCAAGCGGCTACGTGCCCCAGTTTCTGCGCCTACAACCCCCCTTCCACCCGGTCTAGAGCATCCCTCTTCTGTACCCCCTGTAAGTGGCGCTTTGATCCAAGATCCTTCTATTTCAGATAGTAGTTCTGTTATTCCACTTCATCGTTCTACTCGTATTTCTTGACTCCCTAACCGTTATGGTTTTCCTTCAAACCATAGTTTCTTCTTTGTTGTACTTTCTTCCATAGATATCCCTAGATCTTATCAGCAAGCCATTAGAAGTTCTTACTGGAAAGAAGCCATGGATGCCGAAATTCAAGCCCTCCATGAGAATGATACTTGGGATCTTGTGCCAGCTCCTCCAGATGCTTCTATTGTTGGAAGCTGTTGGGTTTATACGATCAAACTAAAGTTAGATGGTTCCCTTGATCAATATAAGGCCCGGTTATTTACCCAAGGATACAATCAGGAATATGGGATTGACTATGAAGAAACCTTTGCCCTGGTTGCTAAGATCACCACAGTTTGGACTCTTCTAGCCATATCTGCTGTTCATTCCTGGACTATCTACCAACTAGACGTGAAGAATTCTTTTCTTCATGGTGAACTAAAGGAGACAGTCTACATGAAGCCTCCACCTGGATATTGCAGTGATCCTTCATGTGCCTGTCACCTAAAGAAGTCCCTATATGGTCTGAAGCAAGCACCCAGGGCTTGGTTTGAGCGCTTCCGGGATGTTGTTGTTGCAGCTGGGTATAATTAGAGTTCCTTTGACTGCTCTCTCTATCTTCTACTAAAGCTGAGTATAGAGCTATGTCTTCTGCCTGTAGCGAGATTGTTTGGTTGAAGTATCTCTTCATTGATCTTGGTACTCAACTTTCTACTCCTATCCCTCTGTATGCCGACAACACCAATGCTATCAAGATCGCATCTAATCCTGTCTTTCATGAGAGGACTAAACATATCGAGGTGGACTGTTACTTTATTAGAGACCCTCTTGTTGTAGGCTCTATATCTCTTCCTCTTGTAGCCTCTCATATGCAGATTGCTGACATCTTCACCAAGACCATGAGCCCATGACTAAAAGTCGACACCTTGTTCTTGTGGGCAAATTGATGCTGATGTCTACGCATCAGTTTGAGGGGGAGTGTGAAGATATACCTTGATGTACATTATTAGAATAGTCCTTGTTGTATAGTATCATATTCTTATTATTTTATTTGTTCTTTTTATCTTTCAGCCCTGTAAGGGCATTCTTGTAACTGTACATATCTTTTATCTCCTTAATATATAAGAGGCTCTTTGGGGTGGGGGTCAACTATTCTTGACACCCTTAATTCTGTTTTCTTCAAAAACGGTAAAAAACAGGTTCTAAGCCCTTCCCATTAATCATACGAACCTGTTATAGGTTATTTTCTTGGTACATGACCAAGAACAAAAAAAGGGAAGGCTGAAGAGGACTCTCAAACCTGTCCAATCTGTGTTTCAAGTTCTTTGGGAGAAAAACAACAAAAAAAGGAAAGTAGTACTTGATCTGTTCTGTTCTTTCTGGCTAACAGACCTGCTCTGATACCATATTATGCTGCAAAGAATAGTAAAGAAGAGAGAAGAGAAGAGAGAAGAAAAGGGGAGAAAAAAGATGAGAGGCCAAAAAGTTGTGCTGGCCGTGCCAGCATTAGATTATATACCAGGGCACCAAGAATAAAAAAAGGAGAAATGTGTATATGTAATTAATTTGCAATGATTAATTGCTTTTCTATTTCCAAGTAATTGCTTTTCTATTTCACAGAAGATACTTAGCAAGTTTGCAGTGATTAATTTGCAATTTGTATATGTGTATTGCATATACATACCAACTAGTATTTGGTTTTTTGGTATTGCATGTGTATATGGTAATTTATAAATAAAACTCAAAATCCGCTTTGTTCAGATGAAAGTCTCAAACATTAATAGATACCAAGGTTGAAAAGAAGTTCTTCATTGGTTTGGTCGAATTGTAAATTTGGAAAATCATATACTTTATAAAGTAATTTATTCATAGCTTTATTGCTGTCAAGGTACAAATCAGTTTGTTGTGCTACTTGCTAGGGATGCATTAAGATATAATTTTCAGTTCCCCATTTTATTCTCTAACAGAAATGTCATTCAGCATTTGGACAGTTGTTCTCTTTAATGTAGAGATATCACTGGAAACTAATTTGACTCTATCTTGTTTCTCTTTCCTTCTTGAGTGAATTATGGATGATTTAGTTAATTAACTAGAATCTTAAATCAAAATATTTCAGTACTTTTTATGCTTGGATCTATTTTATGTGATAATAACTAATATTTGTTTGTCCTATAGGAATCAGGGGCCAACTTTTTTTCACCACTGCCTGTGTCTTCAACAAACGAGATTGTTACTGTATGGGACCCTGAAGTGGGAAGAATAAATCCTTCAGAGCATAAGCAAATTAAACTAGCTAGGAGTCTGACACGCGGTATCATCGACAGAGATCTTAAACCAAGCTCTAATGAGAGGAAGTAAGCTCAAAGCCTGTCACTCTGATGTCATTAACATCGGATGATCTTCATATTTATTAAAATTGAAAGACCATTCTTTTACTTTACTTTTCTTTTTCATTTTTGTTTTTTCTTGATTTTTTTTCTGTTTTTCTTGGGAGGAGTGGGGAAAAGGCTATGTTTCCTTAAACTTCATTTTGTGATGGTTAATTATTTTTCTTTGGAGTTCATCAATGGTTCTGGGTAAATGCTAGTTTAACTTTTTCCTCTGTGAGTAAAATGTTTTTCCTTCGCTATATATTGGCTTCAGATAATTCTTGTATAGATTCCATCATAAGATAAGCTCAACAAATTGTAGCAAAACAAATTAATGACTTTCATTTTATATGATTCATTCTAGGGAGTGGATTTTACATTGTTTCACAACAAGTCTGGTACAACTGATAACTTTTAGACATCTTTCTTTCTTTATTCTTGAACTTTTTGACACTTAAAAATTTGTCTTCCTTCAGCTACTTCTCATCTCTTGAGCTGAAGTGCTGTATTTGTTCTGTTCATAAAATATATTCCTTTTTCAGAAGCCATGTAACCAAGCCTAGTTCTTTGTTGAAAGGTCAATACAGAGAATCCTGAAGTATCCCCCAACAAGGACCTTGAGTGGAGACGAGAGGCAACTACTCTGGAAATTCCGTTTCTCTTTGATGTCAGAAAAGAGGGCCCTTACTAAGTTTCTTCGATGTGTGGAGTGGAGTGATCTTCAGGTAAAGATGTGAATCTTTTCTCTCTTTTTCTTTTTGATAAGTAACAATAAAAATTTATTAAAAAGAAAAGCTGGATACAATCCTAAAGGCAGGTGTTAAGACAACACCCCCCAAGCCCAACGGCATCTCCTGCAAGATGTGAATCTTTTCTCATTTACATCAATTTAATGTTTGGGTTGTTTGGGCACTACTGTGGGCAAAACCAGCAATAATCGTCCACCCTCTCAATAGTGATATGAATCCGTGGGTGCTCTGAAAATTTCTTTTTTTTAAAGCCTAATGTGCCACATCAACATGAACCAGGTTTATAACATCCTCAACCTGTTGGTTTTTACCTTCAAAAATTTTTGCATTCAGTTCACTCTAAATACTCCACAACACTTGCAGTACATTGCCAAAGAATCTTCTTCCATTTTTATAGGCTTGAAGTACATTTAAGGAGAAGAACTCTACCACTGACCTTGATAAATTGCCATTCTTGCAAAGAGATTGAATAATTGAGTCTGTTGGGTCGAGGGATTAAGCGTTGGTGGGCTTATTTAACATTCTATGTTTTAGTTTTATATTCTGTTATGGGCCTTCAGTTATTGGGCCTAAACTGGTTTTATTCTTTGTACTGTCTAGGTGTCCCATCACTAATCAAGGGCGTTCTAGTCTTTTTATTGTAATATCTTAATGTCAATATATATATTAGTTTCTAGGGCCGGCTGAGAAATCATTGCTGCCAATACACTGTTCTCTTCTCTCCTCTTCTCTCTTCCCTTCTCTTTTTGCTCTTCTACTTCACCATTTCAGCAAACATGGTATCAGAGCATCAATTGGCCTGACTGTTTACATCTAGTTTTTCCTTTTCTTCTCTCTTCTATTCCTTTTTTCTCCTTTTCTTGGCTACTGTAAAGAAGCCCTAGGTCTGATCGTTGACTATAGAAAGGTCTGTGTCTAGGGTTTCTCTTTGGATGTAGGGATCAAAGAGAGTTCTCCCAGCCTGTGTATGCCCTGCTAGTTGTTTCTACAGAAGCCAGTAGCCATTCAGCTACTAGAGAGATCTGCAAAGAACAGATTTAAGGAGGACTGAGTGGACAGTCCTAGTTTCTGTCTGAGAGTAAGGACAGATCACAGATATTGTTTACAGCCCAGGTTTGACCACAGGAAGTGTTGGATTTGATTACAAAAGTTGCTTTCAGCCCAAACTTGATTACAGGGAGTGTTCTCAGCCCAGTTGCAGAAGTTTTTTCTGTTACAGATTTGATTGCAGGGGTTCTTTTCAGTTCAGTTGTAAGGTTTTCCAGTTTGTAAAGCTTCATCTAACATCAGGTGGGTGTGGGAAGGAGGAGTCTGGAGTTACAACCAATCAATCTCAGCAGGGTATTGGCTGTTTTCAGTTCAGTAACAGTTTCTGCAGGTCTTAAACCTTGTCTTTTTCTTTGACACTACAGTTGTAGGTTGCTGTTAGGAGCAGAACATGTCCACAATATTAGGGGAAGTGTCCTCTAAGGACAATAGGACTGGTGGGAGATCCTCAAACCTGGAAAATCCAAATCTGCATAGTCTGCAAATCACCAGTGTGTTGAATGAATACAATTTCAGAGAATGGTTTGTTTCAGCCAAAATTTTCATTACTTCCCGGGAGCTTATGGGTTATATAGATGGAAAGAATAAGGAACCTAAAGAGGATGATGCTGAATAGGGATGCAAATGGATTGGATCAGATTTGAATCAAGGTGTATCCGATTCCAATCTAACACTGTTAATTTTATATCTGATCCGAACGGATCTGAATTCGAATCCGATCGGGAAGTTGGATATTCGTATCTGATTCAATCCAATTTGTTTTCTTTAAAAATTAATAAATTATTAAAAGGAAAATAAAATATACCAATTTAAATAAAGAAAAACAAAAATACAAGCATATTTTTAATTATTTTCATCATATATATACATGTTTTTTATAAAAAAATAAATAATATAACAAATTTACAAAAATGCAATATAAATAATATATTTGTAAATAAATAAATAATATATATGCATTATATATTTATATAAATAAATATATAGCATATATATCGAATTGGATCTTCTCGGATCGAATAGGGGGGGTGATTCAAATTCGACCAAATAGGATCGGATTGGATCATGATCCGATCCATTTGTACCCCTAATGTTGAATACTCAACCTGGTGCAAGGAGAATGCTATTGTTATGCCCTGGATGCTTACTTCAATGACTCCAAGGGGAGCAAGGACAATGGAAGAACAATGCAAGAATTTATAGACTAACACAAGATATTGTTGCATTGAGGCTAGGGGATATGTTTCTTGCAACTTTTTTTGTAACCTTGGAAGCATTATGTGAAGAACTGGACCACCATCTTGTACTTGTCTGGGAGAATGCTCTAAGAGATGAGGAAAGGCATGATAAACAAATAAAAGAAAGCAGAGCTTTTAAGTTCTTGTTTGGCCTAGACCCAATATATGAAAGTGTAAGATCTCAAATTTTGGGAAGGGATGAGCTTCCAAATTTATAGCATGTTTACTATCTTGTAAGGAACGAAGAAGTTAGAAGAAAAAAGAGATGCAAGTAAACACCCAAGTGCATCATATTGAGCATTCAGCCTTGATTTCTTCAAGCCAAAATAGGGGCAAGGGTTTAGACAAGAGGCACCTTAACTGCTCTCATTGTGGAGGAGATAGACATTTGAAAGAGACTTTTTGGATTTTTTACCCTCACCTGAAACCAACTGCATTAAGAAAGGACAAGAAGCATTAGAAGAGCCAAACAACAAGTGGAAATATTGTCATAAGTAACAGTGCTGAAAGCCAAAAGAATACACCCACAGTTACTCCTCCAACGGGACAAACCACTAGTTCCAACACATCAGGGTCCTTTTGGATTTCACAGCTGATGAGGTAGAAACCCTTAGCTGAGCCATGGCTCGACTGATGAACAATCCATTTGCATCTACCTCTCTTGCCAAATCAGGTACTGTCTCTACTCATAATGTGATTGCTCCTATATCTAACTCTTGGATTATTGATTCCGGTGCTACCAACCATATATCACACGTCTTATTTATTTTCTTTGTACGGTTTGATGTATGGCCAAGATAAGATGAGAGTAGCTAATGGTTCCTTCTCCATCATCTCTGGAAAGGGGGAGGTTAACCTAGGCAATGATCTCTCTCTTAAATCTGTTCTGCATGTTCCCAATCTTGCTTCAAACCTATTATATTATCTCTTTTTAAGCTTACAAAAAACTTAAATTGTAGCATAACATTCTTTCCTACTCATTGTATTTTTAATGATAGATTGATGAAGACAAAAATTGGGAGCGGTCATGAGTTGGAGGTCTCTATTATTTTGATGCAGACATTAGTTCAGCCTTACAGACATCTACTTTTAGTGGTTGGGATAATGAGGAGTTAGTAACTAGGTTATATTTGTGGCATGCTAGGCTAGACCATTTGTCTTTTTCTTTGATGCAAGGATTGTTTCCTGAGTTGTTTAAGTATGCTTCGAGTTAGAGTTTGGTTTGTGAAGTGTTTCAGTTGTCAAAATAATGTAGAACTCTTTATCCAATTTCTAGTAATGAAATTCAAGCTCCTTTTGATTTAGTCCATTATGATGTGTGGGGCCCTTCACCCCTTGTGCCTATTGATGGCTTTCGTTATTTTATCAATTTTATTGATCATAGTAGAAATCTGCTGAATTAAAAAAAATATGAATGAAAGTAGTTTCTTGAAGAGAGAAGGAAGAGAGAAGGAGAAGAAGAGAAGAAGAGAAGTTGAAAGAAAAGAGAGCAATAATCTGGCCACCCCCTTCACTTATTATTTACACTAAAATAATAGAATAGTACAAAGACAATTATTCCCTTATAGGGCAGCAAAACATAAAACAACATATATAACACTCAAAAAACATAATAAAATTTGGACTCACGTAACTACTGTGGCCCCCACCTCCTATCTAACAACTAACATAAAACATCTATTCAGAAAAACATCATAAAACTAATTAACCTTCAACACTCCCCCTCAAGTTGGGAGTAAATGTCATACATTCCCAACTTGCGTAGATCATGTTCAAGCTTGTTCATTACCACCCCTTTACTGAGAACATCAGCCAGCTACAACTCTGAAGAGACATAAGGCAAACACACTTCTTTGGTTGTTACCCTTTCTCTTATAAAGTATCAATCAACTTCAATGTGTTTTGTCCTATCATGCTGAATTGGATTGTGGGCAATATTGATTGTAGCCTGATTGTCACAATATAACATCATCGGTTCCTTTGCTTTCACCCCAATCTCACTCAAAAGAGATCTAACCCAAAGAAGTTCTGAGACACCATGAGCCATGGATCTATACTCAGCCTCTGCACTTGACCTTGCCACAACCGCTTGCTTCTTACTCTTCCAGGAGATCAAGTTTCCACCTACAAAGGTATACACTCCTGATGTAGACCTCCTGTCATCTAAGCATCCTGCCCAGTCTGCGTCCGTACAGGATTCTAGCTTCAAATTCTCATGATTTGAGAAAAGAATGCCTCTGCCAGGGTGCTTTTTCAGATATGCAAGTATTCTCTCAATAGTTTCCCAGTGCTGAACCCGAGGTGCATGCATGTATTGACTCGCAACACTGACAGCATAAGAAATATCTGGTAGTGTCATACACAAATACAACAGTCGGCCCACCATTCTTTGATATCTCCCTACATCCTTTACCAGTTCACCATCCACACCATTAATCCTGTGATTTGGATCAATAGAAGTGTCTGCTGGTTTGGTCCCCAGCTTCCCAATCTCTCGCAGTAGGTCAAGTACATACTTTCTCTGTGAAATGAAGATCCCATGCTTGGGTCTTGTAACTTCAATCCCTAAGAAGTATTTGAGCTCACCAAGATCTTTGATCTCAAATTCTTTCTGTAATGATTTTTTGAGATCATCAATCTCTTCCAGATAATTTCTTGTCACCACTATATCATCCACATACACAATCAGAATTGACACCAAAGCATCTCTCCTCTTCACAAAGAGGGTGTGATCAGACTGTGTCTGTGTGTATCCAAAATGGATGAGTGCCCCTCTAAACCTGTCAAACCAAGCCCTAGGTGACTGTTTCAGTCCATACAGAGATTTTTTGAGTCTGCACACCT